CATATGTATATGTAATTCCTGCAACATGGTTAGCACATTCTGACTCTATAAAATCACAACCCAGGGGTACAACACCCGACAGTCCAGAATCAAACTCAGAATCAACATCATTAACATCAATATCAACAATATCAGATTTAGATCCAATGCATGTGGGAAAAGAGTGACAATCAGAAAAAACAGAATGCTTCCCAACATGTAAGGAATCAGAACCAACAATCATATCAAAAACAAAATCATCGATAACATCATCAAAGCAGTCAAGATCATCAAGTAGTTCGGCTCTAAAAGCAAAATGATCCTCAAATGGATATTTCATAGCATCAAGAATATTGAATCGAACTACTATATCACCAACTTCAATAGAAAGTGTACCACATGGACATCTATCTTAGTTCGAGTTGTTTTCAAAAATGGCCTGCCTAAAATGATTAGAACAGAACCATGGAAAAATCCCTCTTCCATATCCAAAATATAAAAATCAGCAGGAAAAATGAGTTCAGCAACTCGAACCAAGACATCCTCAACAAAACCTGTGGGGTGGGCAACACTTCTATTAGCCAACCGAATCACCACCCTAATAGGTTTCAGAGGTCCAAGAGAAAGAGAATACAAAATAGAAAGTGGCATCACATTTATGGAAGCTCCTAAGTCTAACATAGTATTCTCAAATTTGTTATTACCAATGATGCATGGAATACAAAAAGTGCTTGGGTCTTTACATTTTTCAGGGATCTGGGGAATGGATTTTCCTATCAAAGCGGACACATTTCTGCCCATGCTGACTCTTTCATTACCTTTGAGCTTTCTTTTGTGTGTGCATAGCTCCTTCAGGAATTTGGCATATCTGGGAATCTGTCTGATGGCATCAAGTAGAGGTATATTCACCTCCACTTTCTTGAAGGTATCAAGAATCTCTTTGTCCAACTCTTCCATCTTCTTACTCTGAATAGGCCTGGATGGGAATGGAAGAGGAATGTGGGGCTGCTGGTGTGGAGTGGACTGCACACTGGATGAAGATGCTTGAACTGCAGGAGTGCTCTCATCAATAACTGCCTCTAGAGACACAGATGTGGAAGGTGCAGATGGAAGACCAAGAGGTGGGACTGTGGAATCTAAAAAAGGTACATCAAGCTACTTCCTGGACCTCAAGGTGATGGCACTCACGTTCTTTGGATTCTGCATAGACTGGGATGGTAATCTGTCAGAAGTCTGTGCCTATGACTGATTAATCTGAGTAGCCAACTGCCCCATCTAACTAGTCAAACTCTGAATGGACTCTCTGGTCTCTTGCTGAAACTGCATGTTCTGTAATTTCATTTGCCTGACCAACTCCTCCAATGATGGTTCAGAAGAGGAGGGAGGAGTGGCTGCTGGAACATGTGTATCAGCTGCCTGCTGTCTGTGTGATGGTGGCACGTATCTGTTTGAACTTTGGCTCTGATATGGTGTTGGTGGTGCCTGCTGGTGGAATGGCTGCTGGAAAGGTGGCTAGTGAGGCTACTGGGAGGAATTAGACCATCTAAGATTAGGGTGATTCCTCCAGCCTAGATTGTACATGTTCAAGACAAGTCATAATTGTGCTGCTACTGCTGCTGAGGAGGTCTCTGAAAATATTTGCAGCATATGCCTCAGGATGATCACTGTCTGTGGATGACTGCAGTGAAGGGCAAAGATCAGTGTGATGGTCTTAGCAACATATGTCACAAACTCTAGCAACTGGGGAGGATTTCTTCTGAACTACGAGTTGAGTGACCAAATTCACCAAGGCATCAAGCTTCCCCTCTAATTTCTTCGTGTCGGCTGAGGCTGAAGCTAAAGCACTTCTGGCTCCCATATCATGAACCCCTCTCATAACTATGGCATCACTCTGTCTGGCACTAAACTGTTGAGAGTTAGAAGCCATCTTCTCAATTAGGTGTCTAGCTGTGGCTGGGATCATGTCTCCTAGCACTCCACCACTGGCAGCATCTATCATGTTGCACTCCATATGATGTAACCCCTCATAGAAGTACTGAAGCAGGAGCTGCTCTGAGATCTGATAGTGGGGGCCACTCACACATAGTTTCTTGAATCTCTCCTAGTACTCATATAGATTCTCCCCAAGGAGCTGTTTGATGCCTAATATGTCTTTTTTGATAGCTGTGGTTCTTGATGCAGGAAAGAACTTCTCTAGGAACACCCACTTCAGGTCATTCAAGCTGGTGATAGAGCCAAGTGCTAGGTAGTACAACCAATCCTTAGTGACCCCCTCTAGTGAATGTGGGAATGCCCTTAGATATATGTGATCCTCCTGGACATCTGGTGGTTTCATGGTTGAGCAGACTACATGAAATTCTTTTAGGTGTTTGTGCAGATCCTCACCTACAAGTCCATAAAACTTTGGCAAAAGATGGATCAATTCAGTCTTGAGAACATAGGGTACATCCTCATTAGGATATTGGATACACAGACTCTCATAGGTAAAGTCAGGTGCAGCCAACTCCCTAAGTGTCCTCTCACAAGGGGGAGGTTGAGCCATGTTCTCAAATATCAAAACAGATGTAGAATCAGATTCAACAACAACAGAATCAATGAGGTTCTCTAAAGGTGTGGACTCAAGGGATGAATGTCTATCAAGCCTAGCCTGCCTATGTAAGGTATGGTAGGTTTTATCAATCTCAGGGTCGAATGCATACAAGTTGTCAGAACTGCCTCTATTCATGCACTACACAGTAGAATCATATAATGAGTAAACAGTGGAAACTAGGGGTAAAAGTAGGAATGCAAGAAATTGCCATTTAAAAATTATGAGAAACTTTAGATGAGCCCCTAATATTAATAGAAGACTACACACAAAAATTCAGCTCAAAATAAATTCATTTGCTATTAAAATCAAAATGCAGATTAAATTGGCAAAACATCAATAAAATAATATTAATTTTTTTTCATTTTTTTTGTTTTGGATCATAATACAATCAAATTCTAAATACAACTAAAGGATAATGAAAAAAAGCTGAATCAACAGAGTTACAACTCAGAACAATTACAATTAACAGAATTAAATCACCTAAGCTAGAACTAGAACAACTATATGAGTTACACTAATCACAACTTCACTGCAAATTGATGTAGTGTTCCATTGCTTAAATGCTCAAGTGCTCAGAATTATGCAACCAGCACCCCGCAACCTTCAATTCAAACTCCCTGGAATGGCTACTTGCAATATGTAATGCGAATTTACAACTTGCACTGCAATGACTAACAACAAACCAAATTTTCAATGCACAAGTGATATGTAAACTCACACACACAACAACAACCTACTCAAACTAGAACAAGTGTTAATGTTATGTTTCATGCTACTCTTAAGTCTGCACAGAACATAATTCAATCACAGAGCAGAGCAAGGGATAATACCAGTAACACAGAACATGACAGTAACACTACAATTATTCCAAAAACAAACAAAGCAAGGCCAAATTGTTATTGTTGAGCTGTTCACACAAACTTATTTTATTTTATTTTTTGATTCAAAACATAATAGGTCCCCCAACAATAACAATCAGTACCTCAATCAAAATAGAATACGAAAACAATATGAAAACCTTTGACAAACCGATAATTTCCCGGTAACGGCGCCAAATTTTTTATGAGAGCCATACTCAATCAAAAATATTGCAATTGAATGCAGCTAGGGGTCGACCTAGATCGTCTCCCAAGGAATACCAGATTCAATCAAAGGTTCCCATGAACAAAGAAATTAAATTACCAACAGGGGGATTTTGCAAAAATCAAGTTCTTTCAGGAATTTTAACTAACACTTGCAGTAGAATAGAATAAAACACTATTAAAAAAGCAGGTTGATTTACCCAATCATAACTAATCAATTAAAAACCAAATACCAAGCTGAAGATTGGAAAAGAAAATCTGAAAAATAACAATAAAAATCCGAAACAAAAAATACATACTAAAGCATATCAAAGACCGAAATTGCATCCAACAAATTTGAAAAGAACCAAGAACCAAGAATAGCCAGCAAATTTCAAATTAAAATGAACAAGGAGCAGCAGATTCAACAAGCCAAGAGATTCAACAACAGATAGCAAAAATCAAAATGCAAGAAGGAGATTAACATCAATAGCTCAGCCACAAGAAGCATAAATCTAAACCATACTTGCAAAATCGAAAAAGAGAAGAGGAAGAAATAAACTCTAATTGGATAAATTGAAGAAGAACTAGCACATTTGTATTGAAAATCTTTGTAACCATGGCTGAAAGTGTAACAATCGGGCAGCACTGACCCAATTGGAATCCTCACACTCTCCAGCTCTCAAGGCACAAGAGAAGACTAAACTGAATTTTATGAATGAATAATGACTCATCATGTACACAAGATGTCTATTTATATCCTAAGGAAATAACCCTGCCAGCTAAGATACAAATATGACTTATTACAATTTTCCCCTCCTATAAATAAGGACTTGCCCTCAAGGTCTGTCTTGTCACCAAACAAAATCTGGATATGGTTGCTTTAGCAAATGAAGTTCCTTCCAGACAGCATCCTCTGGACTTGTAAACTTCCACTGCACCAAGACTTCTGTGACAGCCCTATTACCTTTTTTCTTCATTCACCTATCCAAGACTGCTAATGGTTGTGGTACCACATCACCTTCATCTGTAAAAAAAGGTAGTTCCTGTGAGACTGGATGAGGACCATGATGTGCTTTTAATAAGGAGACATGGAACACATCATGTATCTTAGTACCAGGTGGAAGTTCTAGTCTATAAGCAACCTGACCAATCCTTTCTAGTATTTTGAAAGGACCAAAATACCTAGCAGATAATTTATGAAAGGCTGTGTTGGATAAACTAAGCTGCTTGTAAGGTTGAATCTTTAGATACACTAGGTCTCCACATTGAAATTCCTTGTCCATTCTCTTTAGATCTGCATACTTCTTCATTCTGCTTTGCACCTTAGCTAAATTCTCTTGTAGGAGCCTAGCTATCTGCTGCCTTGTTCAGACTGTATAAGCCACAGCTTCTACCAGTGATTCACCTTGAATTGCAAGATTTGGCATTGGTGGAAGATAACCATATAGGGCCTCAAAAGATGTCAGGTTTATGGCTGTATGAAATTTGGTGTTATACCAATATTCAGCTGAAGATAAGTGCTCAGTCCACTTTTTTGGTAAATCCCTAGTCATGCATCTTAAGTAGCATTCCAAAGCCTTATTTAAGGCTTCAGTTTGTCCATCTGTTTGAGGATGGAAGGCTGTTTATCTGAGATGCTTGACCTCATGCTGTTGCATCAATTCTGTCCAAATATTACTCATGAAAACACTGTCTCTATCAGAGATAATTTTAGTAGGCCAACTGTGCAATTTATCCACATAATCTAGGAATATCTGCCCCACTTTTGCTGCTCCAAATGGATGTGCCAGAGGCAGAAAATGAGCATACTTAGTGTACCTATCACATACTACAAATATAACAGACATACCATATGATTTAGGAAGACCAACAATAAAATCCATTGAAATGGATTTCCAAGCCCTCTTAGGAATGGAAAGTGGTTGAAGTAGACCAGTAGGTAATTTGAGTAAAGGTTTATTTTTCTGACATATAGAACACTCTATCACCCATTTCTTGACTTCTTGTTGCAATCCCTTCCAATAAAACTATTCTTGAATCCTTTTGTAAGTGAGATTATCACCTGAATGTCCACCAGTTGGAGAATTATGATAGTGTTGAAGGATTTTCTTCCTGAAAGTTGGATCTGATCCAATTACTATTTTACCCCTTCTTCTTAAAAATGTGCCATCAAATGTGTATTGTTTGTAAGTTCCCTGATTCATTCTTGCTTTATCCACTATTTTCTGAAGTTTGGCATCATTCCTTCAAGAATTCTTAGCAGCCATTAGCAGTTCAGAAGTTACATGTAGGATCACAGCCAAGCTCCCTGGAAGTCGTCTTGATAATGCATCAGCTACTATATTTTTCTTGCCCTGCCTGTATTCTATGCTGAAGTCAAGTCCCATCAGCTTCTCTAGACCCCAATTCTGCATCAATGTTGTTGGAGGTTGCTCTAAAAGATGTTTCAAAGCCTTCTGATTAGTTTTAATAATGAAGTGTTGTCCCAAGAAATAATGTTGCCATTTCCTTACAGCAAATAGGATAGCATAGAACTCTTTCTCATAAGCTGAAAGAAGTTGGTACTTTGGCCCCACGGATTTGCTGATATAAGCTATGGGATGGCCTTTTTGAGTGAGGACTGCACCAATCCCTGCTCCTGAAGCATCTGTCTCTATTGTAAATGTTTCATGAAAGTTTGGCAAAGAAAGAACCAGAGTTGCAGTTAAGACTTCTTTTAATCTATAAAATGCATGGTTAACTTCTTCTGTCCATTTGAACTTAACATCTTTTTGCAGTAAATGATTCAGGGATTGAGCAATCTTGCGATAATTCTAAATAAACCGCCTATAGTACCCTGAAAGGCCTAAGAAACCTCTCAACTCGTTTACTGTCATAGGAATAGGCCACTGTTGAATGGCTTTAATTTTGTCTGGATCTGGATGTACTCCCTGAGCTGAGATCAAGTTACCCAAATAATCAATCCTTGTCTTTCTAAAACTACACTTTTTAAAATTAAGTGCCAAACTGTGGTCATTGAGAATCTGAAAAATGGTTGCAAGGCATGAGATGTGATCAGACCAAGATTTTGTGTACACCAATATATCATCAAAAGATACCAATATAAATTTCCTTAAGTGTTCTCTGAAAATATCATTCATCAAGTTTTGAAATGTAGCTGGTGTATTACTGAGGCCAAAGGGTAACACCACCCACTCATAATGTCCACTATGTGTCTTAAATGTTGTCTTGTGAATATCTGATTCTGCCATCCTGACGTAATGGTATCCACTCCTTAAATCCAGTTTAGAAAAGTAAGTGGCACCGTGTAGTTCATCTAATAGATCCTCTATTAATGGCATAGGGAATTTATTCTTTACTGTTAATGCATTAAGCTTCCTGAAATCAGTGCAACACCTCCATGATCCATCCTTCTTTTTCACTAACATCAATGGGGAAGCATAAGAACTGCCACTTTCCCTTATAAATCCAGTATGGAGTAAAGCTTTAACCTGCCTTTCTATTTCTTCCTTCTGAGCATGTGGGTATCTAAATGGTTTCAAACAAAATGGCTTGTCACTAGTTAAATAAAGCTGGTGATCATACCTTCTTTTAGGAGGTAAAGTGGTAGGCTCCTCGAACAAATGCTGATATGTGTGAAGAATCTGCTGTAATTCATTATCTTGGTGCGGAGTTAAGTGTTGTAGATCTCCAGGCAGCGCCTCTGAATAACAAACTGGTCCTTGAACAGCAAGCAACATGGGTTGATTCTGAACAAATTTAATTTTACCCTCCAGTTCCGTAACTGCAGTTGAAGGTTGTTCACCTTGGAGACAAACTGGTTTACCTTGATGTTGAAACCTCATGGTTAGTTGGGCACAATTCCAGCTGATTTCACCCAAGGTTTTGAACCTTTGCATTCCAAGAATAACTCCAAAAGTACTACTAAGGAAAATAAGAAAATCAGCATGAAAAACATGGTAATTGAATCTCCATTCCACATCTGCACAACTTCTGTTAATCACTAATTGTTTGTCTGATGCAATTAAAACTGAAAAATCTTGTATGCTTTGTGACTTTAATCCCAATTTCTTTACCCAGTTTGCACTGATGAAATCATGAGTGCTGCCAGTGTCCATTAGAAAAGGTACTGCCTGTTTCTTGATCAAACTCTTCATCTGCAAAGTGCTTCCACCAGCTATTCCTTGTAATGTGTTCAATGAGATATGGACATCTGTATCATTGATTATGCCCAAACTATGTTCTATCATTTCAGAATCCTGTTCCCCTTCAGAATCTAATGCCACTGTTAAATGTTCTTGAGCACTGAAAATAGCATTTAATTTGCCCCAAATTGTACATTTTTGTTTATGATCTCTCTCCCATTTCTCTCCACAAAATCGACAAAGTCCCTTGGAAATCCTCTCACTGATAAGTTTCTTTGAGGTCAAATTTGTTGAAGAGGATTTGTTATCAGTAATAGATTGTGAAACTGTTGGGCTATGAGATTGATTCTGTTGTAATGTAGTGATTGGATGGTTTCTAACATTAGAAGAAGAATTATACCATGATCTGGTGTGTCGCATTGAAGATTCTGAACTCACTGGTCCTGCTGGTGAGAATTTCTTTGCCATTTCATGAAGCACCTCCTCTTGCAACCTTGCAATTCGAATGGCTTCTTGAACTGTGGTTGGTCTGTGAATTTTGACTGATTTTTCCAATTCAAGATTAAGACCAGAAAGAAAGAAACTCAAAGCTAGATCTTCATTGACTGCAACTCTGGCCAATAATGTGTCAAATTTTTCAAGAAAATCGAGCAAAGGCCCATTTTGTTTCAATTTTGCCAATTCTGCAACCGGGTCATCAAAAGCTCCTGAGTCAAATCTGTTACCAGTGTCCAGAAGAATTTGTTGCCAAGAATTGCCTTTATTATTAATGTTCTGCATATAATGCCTTTGCCAAGCAAAAGCTTTACCATCCATAGAAAGTAACAACAATCGACTTCTTTGATTCTCGGGTGTGCCTTCCAATTCAAAGAATTGTTCAGCTTTGGCTTTCCAATCCCGAAAGTTTGAGCCATCAAAAGAAGGAAAAGGAAGCTGTGCACGTTCAATTACTGATCCTGTGTTCTCTGGAATTTCACTATGATTATCTTCTGTACTGATGATTTTCTTGCCCGCTGCTAAAGCAGTCACTACTGCTGTAAGACTTTCAATAGATTTCTGGACAGACTCGAATGATTTTTGCATAGTTTCTTGCTGATCAAAAAGATTCTTTTCAAAGAATTCCATGCGAGCGTCCAATTCTTTGGTGGTCACCATCGTTTCTAAGCTAAGACTGATACCAAATGTAACAATCGAGCAGCACTGACCCAATTGGAATACTCACACTCTCCAGCTCTCAAGGCACAAGAGAAGACTAAACTGAATTTTATGAATGAATAATGACTCATCATGTACACAAGATGTCTATTTATATCCTAAGGAAATAACCCTGCCAGCTAAGATACAAATATGACTTATTACATAAAGTCAATTTTTTTCTAAGAATAAAATTGTCCATTGCTAAAAAAAAGTCGAAGAAGAATTACGTAAGGTCGTCTCCTCCCTAATTAGGGTTGTTACACATCCGATTCTGGACTCCAATGATTAGATATTCTTGAAGCTTTCCTAATTGGGCCAGAAATTAATGAAATACATAACAAAACAAAGCCCAAAAATGGATAAATGCAGGGGCAGTTCCGTGGGTACTTTTCGAGCTCAAAAATAACCATCTTCGGCTTGGAATTTGATAAAGCATGTGAGAGAAACATTTGTAGCTCCATGTCTTATCTTTCCAACGCCCTTAGAATCACTCAATTCGGAGTCTTGTAGCTCCAGATATTGCTTTACAACAAGCAATGGTCAAACTACCAAAAAGAACAAAAATTGTTTAGTTTTGCAATTAATCCCTCAAGTTCAAAGACAGTTAACAAACATCATAATACCACAAAATTAAGCATAAATGTGAGAGTAATTAAGGCCATAATGATATGCATTACTATACTAAAATACGGCCTATCATCTAAGCATAGAAGGGAGAGTGTTGTAATAATACATAGTAAGAGCAGTTAAAAATAGGAATAAATCTGTAACTAGTTGTAAAATATTAGTTAATTAGTGAAAAATAGAGTTTTTGGCACCAATAAAATGGGTAAAACTGTTGGAAGTCAGAAGCTATATATAGAACCCATTGTACACTTTGAATGATGATGAAATATTTTGAGTTGAGTTTCCTCTATATTCTCTGCGAGAATTGTGAGTGAGTGAAGAATTCTGGTGAGTTCAATTGAATTTTGACATTGGTATCAAGAGGCTCGTTATGTTTTGGGACAATGGTGATGACTAAGGAACTTGAAGCGCGCATGGAATACTTTGAGAAATCGTTCATAGAGGCTCAAGAATCGACGAAAGAAATGCTAGATTTTTTCTAGAAATCAATCGACACTCTTGTTTCTTCAATTGCGGCATTTAATGGTGGGCAAAAGATCATACTTCCAGATGACGATGGTGGTGATTCTTCAAAATCTGTGATTGAAAGAGCACAAATCCAATTTCCTTCATTTAATGGCATGAAATTCCGCAAATGGAGGGCAAAGGTAGAACAATTCTTTGAGTTGGAACCCACACCAGTGAATCAATGTGGCAGATTGCTTCTATTATCAATGGATAGGAAGGCTTTTTCATGGCAACGCCATGACATGCAACAAACGTCTTTCAAAGACAAATCCTGGGAACAAATTCTTCAGGACGTGGCATACTGATTTGATGATAGTTCTTTTGATGATCCGGTAGCTGAGCTTTCATGACTTAAACAAGAAGGTGATTTGATGGATTATAGAAGTTAATGGGTTTGGATTTCAATATAGAATACAAAAAGGGAAAGGATAATCAAGTCGCTAATGCATTGTCTAGAATGGAGAGTAAGGGAAGCCTAACTGCCATTTTACACTTATCTACAGAACTAATGACCGAAGTTATTCACTCTTGGAAATCTGATACAAAATTACAAAAGCTAGTTGATAAATTGAGGTTAGTGCAAACAACCTCTAAAGCACTATACTTTTGAAAATGACATAATGAGAAGAAAGGGAAAAGTAGTGATTGGATGTCAGCCAAGTCTCAAGACAAGGATTCTCAATTTCTTTCATAGCTCAGCAATAGGAGGACATTCCGGTTCTGACCTA